TGGGAGGGGGGGGCTCTTGAGCGGAATGCGGCAGGTATGTGTAACGCGCCAGCCGCCCCACACACTCATTGAATATTCATCTTTGATTTAGTCTATGAAGGCTCTGGCAATTAGTCTATTCTTGGCGATCACTCACGTTGAAGAACGAGGACCGTGACAAAAATATTGTGAGCTGCTGCGTTTCACTCTAAGTCTAACGTCCTGCCAGACGGACCAGTGCGGTCGGTCCTACAGCACCCACAAAAGATGCATCCATTCCAAACCAAGTCGTGAACATGTCTTGGCGTCGACGCTCCTACGAAAGTCATTCCCACGTGCTGCTGTGCATGCACCGCTCAACCACCTCGAAGGTTCCTGCAAGAAATACATGCAGTCATGAATATCGGGGTGATCCATATTCCCCAGAGGTGTTGGGGGAAAGCCACAGAAGTATAATGAGTTACCGAGCAGAAGATACAGCGCCAGCACAACCACAGAATCGCTCGCCGTGTGTGTAGGTAGAGCAGCCCCCATGGGCTTTTTGTTACCACCACCGTAAGACTTGCTTTGTTACCACCACCGTAAGACTTGTCGCTTTCTATTTCGCATCATTATTTCGTACAGACTAGACCTGCAGGCCGTCAATACTATCCACGCCCTGCTAAATGACACAATGACACAAACAAGACACGCGTTTTGCATTCCCCCGGAGCACCACGAACGCCTCAACGGCTTACATAGCCCACCGCAACATCTGGGAAACACAATTAATTGAAGATTCGCGATGTCCTACGCACATTTGCCTGCAAAGAAGAGTTCCGTCGGGAAGGCACCGGCAACACAGCGAAACATCACTCCGAGACTGGGAAATCAATCTGTACCGCTTTTCGCCCCCTCATGCGTCCTTCTGAAGGCAGGGCTACAGTATTGATACGGTAAAAAAGATCGGCTACATGGAGTTGCATCCTTTGGGTGTCCCCATGGGTTGGTTGAGAGTTCTGTACATTTGCAGGGCCCCTTGTCTTCAGCTCGCGTGACCCCGCGAGCTCACTCCTTATTGAACTCCTGTTTGAGCATCCCAGTGCTTAGCAATAATCAGAGCGGAAACCGTGTCCGCGACATTGTACCTGATCCCAGCACACATACGCATGATGACTAATTTTGCAGCACTCGAGAGGCACCTGAAGCTGCCTACCCAAAACACAAATAGATAAGGCCGGCCCCGCTCGAAAGTCGCACATTTTTCGAGCAAGAGCCTGTAAAACCCTCACGTTGTCTGAACGATTGAGCAATGGCTAGTGCCTAGCTCACCCCAATATTCCCATTGACATAGTGTAGTTAAGTTTTGCGCAGAGTTTAAGTCAATCGTCATTGTCTTGTGAGCGGATTGCCAAAAGCGGATCTGCTTTGTACGGTACGACCTCTCAACGGTTCGTCAAGTAGACACGCGCGCCCTCTCCCATGTTGGACCGTACGCGGGACCGCGACTTGTCGCCAGAGGTTGGAGCAGCAGAATCATCCAACTTAACAGAACCCGCGTCCCCACCCCCACCGGTTGCAACAGCAGTGTCAGCAACGGCAGGAGAAGAAACAGAGGAAGCCCTCCGCCATTTCCGTGGCGCTTAGGGCTTGAGAGGAACGTGAGGGTCCTCGTCTTCCTTCTTCTCTTCATCTTCCTCCTCCTCTGACAGTTGCGACTCGGACCCCTCCGAGATGGTGGCCTGCCGCAGGTGGTGAAGTTGCCGTGAAGCCGCCGAAGTCTCGTCAGAAGGCGACGCTCCTTGTCCCCGCCGCCTTCGCCGCAGGCGCTCAAAGTGCCCAGTGGTAGTTTCGGGTAGTCGAAGCTGCTGCTGCTTGGAAGAAAGCGCCGTCGTCGCCATCGTCATCGCAGAGGAGGTCGAAGAAGCAGGTGCCTTGGGAGAGAGCAGCGGCCAGCTGTTGGTCCGTGTGTCGAGGTCTTGGTCGGGGTCTAAATTACCCACCTCTTCCCCCGACGTCTGTCCGACGATTTCAAGAGTTCCGAAGAGTCAACAAGATGTTCTTAGGGGAGGTACTCGGATGAGTGGGTATCCCTGAGTTGCCCGCGTGGAGTAAGTTTGTCCGTTTGTTGGTTTTGTTGGTTTTGGAGCAAAGGTGGCGAATGACTGGCAGCAATTCTGTGGCTTTGGTATGACTCGTCTACCAAGAGTCTGTACATCGATGTAATTCTGCTGTTTCGCGTGCATCTAACCATTAGCACCGTTGTTTCAAGAGGTGTGACATTCCGTTAAAATACGAGAGTTTCGGGGAAAGGGACGAAAAACTGATACAGGTTATCTTCTCGTGCCCGCTTGTAGGCCGTCTTCGAGCAAGAAACAACGACATTTCACTATCAGACAAGACACTCTGGTTGACAGTTGCGTCGATCTTCTTCGTTTGCAGGTGGTAGGTCATTATTGCTGATGCCCTTTTTAGTAGCGCACAATGCAGAAACGAAACAACATCGAGTTCCGGAGGTGTGCGGCGGCGTCGGAACCGCGCACGATATGCACACATTCCGCACCATCTGGGACACACATCAATTGTCTCGAAATTTCCAGTTCCCGTAAACTCAGTAACATCTCCAGCATCAATACCGTTGTTGGTGTTGTAGATGTGAACGTCAGAACGTGGTGGGGGGGGGTGGGGGGGTGTACTCATAGTCGTGCACGCCGTAGTCGTTAGACCATTGACCTCGCATCCCTACAAAGCCGGGACGGAGCACGCCGGGGTTCTCACCGGACCAGGCTCTCACATNTTCCTTGCGTACGGACGACAGCTACGTATGACTTAATTTATTTTCTGGTGCTTTCACTTCCTGAGACAGTTGTAAGCA